GGCTCAGGGGTCGTCGCGTCAGTTCATCGCGACGCGCGGAGACGGCGCGACGGGGCGAACCTCATAAACCCAGTGACGAGGATAGTTGACGAGAGAGCGATTAAAAAAGCAAGTCGACTCGCCGCGGGCCGCGGCCGCGATCTCGCGCGAGGAGGGGGCGCAAAACACACCTTAACGCCATCGCGGAGGCGTGCATGTCGCGATCGCGCGCGAACGCGACGCGGTGCACAACGCGGCTGGCCGAGGACCGACCTCGCGCGCGTGATTGTCGCGTCCGGTCGCGCGCGACCCTCGTGACCTTTCCGCGCTTTTCCGTCGCGCTCGCCCTCGGTTCCAACGGATGTCGGGGGGAACGGAATCGCAGGTTTTGGGTCGGCGCGTCGACCGTTGTTGACCCTTGACGCGCGATGAACGAATTCGACCTCTGCCCTTTCAACTTCCCTTTCAAAAGCTCCGGTCATCGGTCGCCGCGCGAGCGGCGTAGTTCTGTCCCGGAGCGCTCGTCGCCGCTCGCCGCGTTTTCCGTCGGCGACGACGACGACGACGACGCGCGGCACTCTCGCTCGCGCCGCGCCGCGCCGTCGTCGACCGTCGCCGCCTTCCTCGCGTCGCCGTCCTCGCGCGCGTCCGTCACCCTCGCATCGCACCGCGCCGCGCCGCGCGCGCGTCGTCATGTTCGCGCTCGCGTCGTCGTCCGCGTCCGTCTCGGCGCGCGCCACGTCGCCGAATCGCGCGTCGTCCGGCGCTCGAGGCGCCGCGGTCGTCGCCGCGGCCGGGGTCGAGCCGATCCCCGCGTCCGAGGCGATGAAGCTCGCGGAGAGCGGCAAGGTGGCGAAGCGCAAGGTGTGCGCGCGCGCGTCGCCGTCGCCGTCGCCGTCGCCGTCGTCGACGTCGCCGTCGCGCGCCTCCGTCGCGCGCCTCCGTCCGTCGCGTCGTCCGTCGACGAAACGAAATCGAAACGAAACGCTCTCGACGCGACGCTCATCACCCCTTCCCCCCTCCGCCCCCCCCCCCCTCCGCCGCGCCGCGCCGCAGGGCTTCGTCGAGACGATGGGCTTCGCCGGATGGGCCCCCGAGGTCATCAACGGCCGCGTCGCGCAGATCGCGTTCGTCGCCGGCGCCGCCGCGGAGGCAGTCACGGGCGAGACGCTGCCGGCGCAGGCGCACGACCACGTCTTCTCGCTCGCGTTCGCGTCGTCGCTCATCGCGCTCGCGTCGTTCATGCCGAACGTCCAGGGCGAGAAGTACACGTCCGAGCCGGAGAGCAAGGGTGCGTTCGGGCCGTTCTCGCCGGGGAAGGAGCTCCTGCACGGGCGGTTGGCGATGGTGGGGCTCGCGGCGTGGATCGCGATCGAGTCCCACACGGGCGTCGCGTTTTTTCATCGCTGATGAGCGGGAAAGAACGGATCCGACGACGACTCGACGGACGGGTAGACGTATAGTACACGTACAGTAGCACGCGCGCGCTTGTTTTGATTGATTGATTGACGCGCTTCATTCGTCGTTCGTTCGTTTACGGCTATCGTGAGTGATCTAAATTCTCTCTAAGGGCATCGACGCGCTCTCGCGAGCGCGCCGCCGCCGTCGTTTTCCCGTCGTTCCCTCGTCGAGACCGTCATCCGCCGTCACCGCATCTCTTTCCTCGCGGAGGACAGCGGCGACGCGGGGAGCACCCCGCGCGAGACCGTGACCAGCTTCGACGGCGACAACATCAAGCTCGACCCCCCGCCGGGACCGGGACCGGGACCGAAACCCCCTTCATCGCACGACGCGAACGGGTTCGTCGTCGCGCGCCCCCCTCGCGGCGACGCGGATCCGAACCCGCCCCCGCCGGGGGACCCGAAGCGCGGCGCGTTGAGACTCGCCGCGCGCAGCGGCGACCGCGGCGCGCGTGCCGTCGCCGGCGAGCGCGGCGACGACATCAACGTCTCGACGTCGACGGCGCGGATGCCGCCGCCGACGCCGCGCTTCGGCGACGGCAGAAGGTGTCTGCGCCCGCCGCCGAGCGGGAGCGGCGACGCGTTCTCCGCGTCGTTCTGCTGAGAGGGGACGTCCTCGTCGTCGGCTTTCTCTTCGACGTGATGATTCGCCGTCGCCTGCACCGCGGCGGCGATCGATCGCATCTTCATCGCGGCTGCGGCCACCACGGCGGCGTCGCACTCGCGCTTGTAGTCCTGCCCGCCCACGAACGTCGGGTTCGCCTTCCACCCGGCGGAGGGCGGCGCGCGCGCGGACGCGGACGCGGACGCGGACGCCTTCGACCGCGCCGCCGCCGCCACGTCGGGCGTCGTCACGGGTTTCGACGCGAACTCGAGGAGATCCGCCGCCGCCGCCGCCGCCGCCGCCGCCACCTCGCTCGACACCGCGTCCGCGGCGTTCGCCGCGGCTGTCTCGCGCGCGACGTCGCGCCACCCCACGAACGCCTCCCACGTCGTCTGCGTCGTCCGCATGACGTCCAGATCCGCGTTGAGCTTCGACAGCTCCCTCGCGGCCTCGGCGCGTCGCGCCGCGTCGACCCACCCCCGGAACGCGTCGCGCGCCGCCGCCGCCGCCGCCGAGCGAAACCCGCGCGCGTGCATCACGTCCGCGACGGCGCGCGAGCGCCTCTCGGCGAGCGCCCCCGCGCGCCACCACGTGAACGCGGCGACGAGCGCGTTACCCGCGCGTCGTTCGTCACGCGCTGCCGCCTCCGCCGCCGCCGCGTCGGCGCGTCTCCGCGTCTCGACGTCGACGACGGCGGCCCACTCTCGAAGCGCCCGCCACGTCAGCGCGCCGTCGTCGAGCGCGAGGACGCACCCTTCCCTCGCCCCGAACGTGCGCAGGCGCTTCGAGATCTCCGCGCGCTCGAGAAGCGCGTCGAACGCGGCTCGGAGCGTCCGCGCGACGCGCTTCGACGCGACGCGGTCGCGCGACGTCGCGAGCCGTCTCTCCGCAGCGGCGGCGACCGCTTCGTCCGTCGTCGTCGTCGTCGTCGTCGTCGTCGTCGTCCG